CATATTTGAATTGCATATAAAATATTTGGATTACACAATTTTAACAAACGAATAAGCTTAATGTGATGCATATTTGACAGTGCTTGAAATGAGGAAGATTTCTGCAATTGTAATAAACTGAATGTTTCAAATGCACAATAACCAGGTTTATATATTTATCAATCAATCCAGATGTTTTTAGCGTGTATTTTTAATATGACTTATGAAATCTCTTCATTTGTTTATCATATCACAACATTTGGCAGGTTTTATTAAAATGAAAATATACATTTTGTCAGAATGTTTTTCCTGTGACACAATATCCATGTTTAATGAAACTAGACACGCATAGAAAACAGGTCATTCGAAGCATACAAAGTTAAATAGAATTCTGCGAATGGGGGCGATACAACTGAAAAACCACTACTACTATAACCGTATGATTCATTTAGTTAAAAATTTGTATCCACCTTATATGTTGGATGTTCTAACATATACTCTAATATGACTCAAGACACCTAAAAAAAAAAACATGGCAAATTTTCTTATGAACTTTATTATACATTTTCTTACAAAGTTTCTTATAATTTCTTATACACTTATCTAAAATCACTTCTCTATCTTATACTCTTATCTTACAAAATTTGAGTGAGTGGAGGGATGGAAAGGCCACTCATGTCAGCCCGCCAGATGCAAAGTTAACCAGTTAACCAAAAGAGGACGATATCCGCTTCGTCATGCCTGGAGCTGAACCTCACACCACAGGAAAATCTGATAAGATAATCTTTAGAACCATCAAGATAATCGGGACATTACCTAGGATTGTCGGAAGGGGAGAAATCGGCCCAATTATCTTGTGGTTTGTACCCTGCATTAGGTGTTCTGCAGAGTTTAGCTCCAACCCTAATCAAACACACCTGAACCAGCTAATCAAGGTCTTACTAGGTATACTTGAAACTTCCAGGCAGGTGTGTTGAGGCAAGTTGGAGCTAAACTCTGCAGGACACCGGCCCTCCAGGACCGAGTTTGGTGACCCCTGCTTTAAGAGATACAAAACTCACAAAGTAAGTAAAACTTAGTTCATTGTATGCTGTATTTATATGAAAGTGAAAGTGAAGCGACATGTGGCCAAGTATGGTGACCCATACTCGGAATTAGTGCTCTGCATTTATCCCATCCAAAGTGCACACACACAGCAGTGAACACACACACACCGTGAACACACACCTGGAGCAGTGGGCAGCCATTTTTTGCTGCGGCGTCCGGGGAGCAGTTGGGGGTTCGGTGCCTTGCTCAAGGGTGCCTCAGTCGTGGTATTGAAGGTGGAAGAGAGCGCTGTACATTCACTCCCCCCACCTACAATCCCTGCCGGTACGAGACTCGAACCCGCAACCTTTGGGTTACGAGTCCCACTCTCTAACCATTAGGCCACAACTTCCCCACATATTTATTATATATAAATATATATACACATGTCTCATCAGGTGTCATTAGATAAATCAAAATCAGATAATTTGCTACTCTTTGGCTAACTGGGATTAGGCTAGTCCCATAAGGCAGTATCTGGTTTAAATGTAGCTGTTTTTGTAGCTTGCATGTTGATCGATCACTTAGTTTTTAATGTTAGTCCAGCAGTTAATCTTTAAAGTATTGCATTGGTAGTTTTCGGCATTCTCGCTGTAGGGGTTGCATAGACTGGTCGGGTTTTTCCAACAAGAGCGTCAAAGCCAAAGGTTTCTATTTACAACCTGTTTTGCAGTGTTGAGCAATGTAGCCAATCACAGACGTATCTGTTGATTTCTTGAACGCAATGGCCAATCAGAGGCATATATAATGAGAATCCTCACATTATAACAAAGTGTAGACATAATGTGCAGTGCTTCACTTTTTACAGTGAATAGTATAGTTTTGATTATAAATTAATTATTTTTTCTCCTTTTACGGTTGTTGTTGCACCATGTAAATGTGATAACTGGATGATATTTGAAATTAATATTTGAATTGAATTTGAATGAACTGTGTGTGTGTGTGATTTTTATATCTATCTATCTATCTATCTATCTATCTATCTATAAATTTATTATTATTATTAATGGCCACAAATAGCATACTTTCATGCCTTGGCTAATCAAACAAATGATACTGTTATTACTTCAGAGACCAAACTAATATTAAAAGTAGCTGAGAGGCTAAAGCCCCTGATCTTTGAGTACCTTTATTGAATTGTAGGTTGATAATTATGTTATGTCCCTGGAAAAGCCTTTCCAAATATTAAATTACTGTGTGGTATTTTCCATCAAAGAGGCGGTGACAGGGCCATTCTGTTGACAGGATTAGATTTCTCATAGTGAAATCTCCCTCAAGCACATTTTAGATCTATTCTCATATTGATTTTTCCACATTCATGCCCACATATTTTTCCCCAAATAGCCATAGAAGAAATTTCTTACAGCCACAGACAGGTTATCCTTTCCTAGGTGTGTTTAAAAGTCACATTGAAAACATCCATGTTAGTGTCATCACATCACATATTTCAAAACCAGGCAGCATGAAATGGCAGCGAACAAAAACAGTTGTGTTTTAGGCCCCAATATCTCTACTTCCACAAACACAGGATGTGCTGGATATTATGAGGATTTCGCCATGATTTCTCCAGCCTGCGTCCACAGATATGCCCCCTGCTTTAATTTCCCGGTGCTCAATAAAAGGCAAACGCTCCTCTCTTCAAACCACCTCTTCCTGTTCCTCAAAGCAGCTTATTAGTAACAGACATTGGTATGACCAAAGAACTGCAAAGAATATGGAAGCAGACTTTAAAATGTACGTATAAAACAAGATGGTGGATTGTTTTGGACTACATGTGCACGCTCTCACGCTTTTCCAACAACTGAAAAAAGCCAGAGGTGGTTTGATGACATATGAAACATAAATTAGAGCTTGGTTGAAAAGAAACTGGAGGGTGTAATCTACCCGTCTACTGTTACGGCAGCAAAATTAAGGCCCTTGATGGGGTAGACCGTAGTATCCTACAGCAAGGGTGGAGTGGAGTAGTCTGCAATAGAAACATTATAAAGAAGATTTTTGTATTTAAACTCATCCAATAGTGTGAGTTTGGGTCGGGTTTTTTATGCATTACACACACACACACACACACACACACACACACATATATATATATATTGTAAGGATGCATTGAATTGATCAAAAGTCAGAGCAAAGACATTTATAGTGTTGCAAAAGATTTCAAATAAATTCTGTTCTTTAACTTACTATTCATCAAAGAATCCTGAAAAAAATGTAACACGGTTTCCACAAAAATATTCAGCATCACAACTGTTCAAATCAGCATATTAGAATGATTTCTGAAGGATCATGTGACACTGAAGACTGGAGTAATGATGCTGAAAA